CTGCTTTAATTAAGTGCTTAATCAAAACATATACATATTTCACATATACATAAAGTTCTGATCACTTGATTTTTTCAAGCCTTTGTTTTGTACTTTGACGCTAGAAAGAGTAGATAGTGACTAAAAGAACGTTAAATCACTTCTTCAATACACTGACAAAATGACAAATTGGAAAGATATGTGGTTAGAAGGAATCGATTCAGATATTCTATGTGACATTAGAATAACAACAATTAGTAAACAACTTTTTATGAATAAGAATCTGTAAACAACTTTTAATGTAGGGAAATCTAAATTTAGTTTTATTAATGTGAATTTGATGTTAATATCAGTTCAATTAATTTACGATACAGATATTTAAAAACAAAAATACCAAGAACATAAGAATTATGTAAATTTTAATTTTCAATAAATTCAAAATCACCTAATTTTATCTAAACATTTGAAAGAGAATTTCTTATCACTAATGTATGGTTGTATTAGGGTTTCTGGAAAGAAATTTGGACCATACTTACTTGAATATATAACTTGTAAATTTCTTTCACTGTATTACATTTAAATGGTGATGAAATTCTTTAAGGTCAAAAGCCCACTAATATTATTTTACAATATGGTAGAGAATTATATGCTCTTTTTAATAATATATGGTGGTACTTGGGTATTTGTAGTGAGATTTTGGCTACAGATATTTCTATATTCCTGAATTTATATTAATAAATCTTGATTTTAAATAGGAAAGCCCTATACACAAGCTAGTTTCGAGCTCAAATTGTCTCCCGAACTTAGAATATCTCAAAAGTTCAAGGTCACTTTAAATGGCTGAATTTTTTTTTTTTTTTTTAAGGCCACCTTTTTCCTTGACTTTGTCCTCAAGTTATCTTACTATTAAAGTGGAAATCAAATCGGTATTTACCACATTTTAGTACCTAATTAAATAGACAAAGTTTGCCGCCCCCATTTTGAAAACGCCTCAAGTCCGAGAATTTTCGTAAATGAAATATTTGTAGGTTACGATGAAATGAAGCTATTTACGAAGTTTCAGCCGGATTTTAATAGTTTTTAATAGTTAATGTACCACTGACTATATCTCATTGAATCATGTCTTTTTCTTCTACTAGTCACTCAATTATTGATGTGAGACATATAATCCAATGATTATCACATAAGTTCTATTGTTATAAAACTCTATTCTTTCTAGTCAAGCCATTATTCTTATTGTTGTTCATATGCTTCTTTTCATATTTATTATTTGTTTTATTTATTATCTTATTAATTATTACCGCTATATCTTCATATCTATATATAATCTTAATTATCATTTATATTTTATAATATATTATATAATCTTAAAGATCTCATATATTGCCATTTATTATTTAATATGTATTATATGACTTTATCACTATGTTTTAATTTGTTATTATTATACTATATTGCATTATTATACTATGTTAGAATTGTATTATATTGAAATCATTAGAAAAAAAATAATGGCACCGTCTGATAGATTTTCCATCTGGTCGGACCAAATTGTAATTATCGTTTAATAAACTCTAAACTCTAAACTTAATATACACCAATTTTCATTAAAATCTGGTGGTGGTTATCAAATTTATCTAGATGATTTTACATAGAAATAATTCGGGGAGTTCGATTCAGTTTATGTTCATTATAACATGCGTTGCCGGGCAACCTGATAAACGTAAGATTAAGAGTCCAAATTCCGGTGCATGGGAGACTTTTAACTCTGAAATTAATCCCACGCCCTCTCCTCTGGAAACTCCCGTGTAGCCAAAAAGGCGAGGAAGGGAAGAGAAAAAAAGAAGAATTTAAACTGAAAACGAGAAAAAATATTTTTGTATTTTATTTTACGGATAGGTTCCCTTTTGAAAGTAAGCTCATGTACATTTAGCTTGTTCTCGATTTTCGTTTGAAATAAAACCAACCGCTCTTCCTGTATGTAAAGAGAAGAAGAAATCCCTGGTTTATCTAATACCCTGGAGGTGGAAGTGGGTGTTAGCTTGAGATAGAGCTGCAATAAATATCAATCTAGAGGAGGCCACCTCCTCAATCTCTTCCCCATGTTAACGAATTGCCTGAAGGAGGAAGGGGGAGTAGTGAACTCCTAACTTGTCCAGATTTGCCGTCGCAGCTTATTTACCAACAATCAGGTTTTCATTTTGAAATAATGATTTGAAATTTGAAAATAGCGGAAAATTTGAAATATCAAATATCAAATATCTCAACGGTAATAATATTTATTTATTTTTAAATTTAGTTATGTATATTGAATATTACATTTAAAAAAAAAAACCTTTATAATTATTAAACCCCAATAAAATTTGAGTCACCTTTACCATAATATTTTACATTTGAATTTTACTTATTTTACTATACTAGACTGAAACGACAAGAAACCGCTCGACGTTTTCTATGTCTTCAGCACTTACTAGACAAACGCTCTAAACTTCCAATTAATAACAAAAGACTCATTTACATGACTATAATAAGGCCTACTTGGACTTACGTAGTTGAGCTATGTGGCTCTACTAAACAATTGAATTCCTCTCGTATCCAATCCTTACAGTCCAAAATCCTTAATGCCCCTATTTGTTACAAATAAAACCATTCATAACGACCTTAACGTTTCTCATGTTTCAGATCTGGCCCAATCCAGGTACCTATCCTTACATAATAAACTTCAGAATCATCCCAACCCTCTCGTTTCTAACCTTGCTTCAATTCTTGATAACCCTCCAAGGCGTCGGAAAAGAAGATGGCCCCGTGATCTCCTAATGTAGACATATTATTAGAGTGCTACCATTGGGTAGTGGTACACTCAACAAGTGTTTCCACGTCATTATATACATATGTTCAAATTTACTAAATGTATTTCTTTTATACAGTTGTAAATATCGTTAAGAGGAACCTCGTATTTGTACGACGTTTTAACGAATTGTACGTGGTACCAGGATCGACCAATCTCGTACCTCGTAAATAATTTTTGTTTACGTCTGCACAGTTCTATTTTTATGAATAAGCTTCAGATTTAGTTTACAATTATTTTCACTGTGTTATTATTTATGTTAATACTAAATACTTAATTTTTTTTTCTTTATTGACAAATGAGTAGCAATTATATCTAATTTCATTGGTGTATGATTGTTATTTTTGTCATAAAGCTGTGATTGCATATATTTACATATATTTTCTTTTTTTAAATTTTCTAGTTAAATAAAAAGATTTAAAATAATTGTTACTGTTAATTATTTTAATAGTAGTTATTTTTATAAATTCCAATAATATTTTACCTAGTTTCGCATTTTTGTTTTTAATAATGATAGGAATAATGAATCCTTCAAAAATGTTATTTTAATTTAACTAAAATAATCATAAAGCTAGAAAACAGACATAAGTAATTATTTTATAAATGAAAAAGTCCAAAATACAAAGCCATGAGTCCCCAACATACAGGTGGATAGTTAACTTGTCAACGTTTCGCCCATTCAATCATCATCAAAATAGAAAAACCAAGATCAGTTACATGCAGAAAGAAAAAATATACAAGTATTGCTGTAGGCATCTCACAAAGCCATCCAAATACTACATACTGAAGGTAAGAGAAGGTTCTATTAACACAGTTAGGGAAGGTTATATTAAACAGCTGATTAGCAGAAATACAAGGAAGAAAGGAATTTTATTTAATTAAACACGTTTTGCATTATTATATTTTAGTTATGCATGATTTATTTTATCTTTTCGAAATTGATGAAACGTTGGCAAGTTAACTATTCACCTGCTTTTTATTTTTCCATTTATAACAACTATTTTACTTTTTATAGAAAGTTTTCCAATAGTTTATGTTTATTATATTCACTTTTATTGAACGTTTTATTGAAAATACTTAAATTAAATTCATTTTACTCTTGCCCCATCAGCTTAAAAAAATAATATAAGGTTTTAAAATATAAGAATTGAACAAATAAGCAAAGACCCGACCTAATTTACCAAAGAGAAAACAATAACATTGAGCCTAATAGTACGAATTTCCAAAAAAAAACAAGCGTACGAGGATATACAAGGTTTGAGGTACGAGGATTTGTCACAGAACGCGCGGCAACGCTGGTTTATGAACCATATTGTTAAAGTATGTGTGCATGTGTGCATGTGTGTGTATAAATACTGCCATAAGTGTGTTACATTGGACCTCTATGATATAGTATGAAAAATAATTTTTCTTATAAATGGTTCTGGAAAAAAAAAAAAAAAAAAAAATATATATATATATATATATATATATATATATATATATATATATATATATATATATATATATATATATATAACTAAAAAAACGGTATGGTTACATTCAATATACAACGTTTAATTATTTAAAACTTTTATTAAATAAATATACAAATTTCTCTCACTCATCTATGTTATTACCAAGTTTAACAGTAAAATCTTAAACAAATATTTCTGTTTCATATTTTTTGTTCTTTTGAACTTCTGTTACATTCATTTCCTATAAATAGTAATCACTTGTAAGATATATGACAGAAAATACCTTCATCGAATTGTAATTACCAGATTCAATTTATTGGTTTTATAAAATTGTATATTTTAATTTTACAGTTTACAGAAGATCAATAATAATTTTTACGCTTCAACGTCGATAATAAAACCACAGGCAGATATAATCAATGACATTGATCTTTATAAATCAATTGATGCATTTTATAAATAGGATACTTAAAATTAAAAGTAATTCCAATTGATGAATATTTACATTTTTTTGGTCAATAAACTATTTTTTTTAATATTGTTAATTTACTTATTTACACATAATATATGGAAAATTATATAATTTTGTTAAAATACAGACATTTCAATAATAAATTTCTTAGACATGATACAATTAATGAAAAGTGAAAAGGTTGTAACAGATCTCTATTTCATAATATAACTTTTTATTATTGATGTTAGTTATGTCTACATTTTTTTTTTTGGTTGGTAAGAAAAAGCATTTTAGGATAACCTTAAAGAATAAAATGTCTAAGGGTGCAATATATTTGTAAAGAAACTTTAATATTTGTATTATCTAGTTTTGATTGTTTAAGAAAAGTGGTATAGTAAAATCACAATTAGATTTTATGAATTACACTTCTCATAGAATGTGCATATAGAATAAATCCTTTTAACTACTTATAACTAATTTACATTAAATATATATATATAAGTTTTATGATTTGGTTAGATTTCTTTAAAAATATTTCTTAAAATTCTAATCGATGTATAAATAAAAAAATTGCACCTTTTTTATTTATTTTTTATTTACATATGTAGGCTTAGGTGAAGATGACTGTAGCCTTGCAAGATCTTGAGAATGTTTTTTCCTCATCCTCCCTTTACAGATCGTACGAATGTTCGTCATCTTTGGGAGCAGAGAAGACAAGCCTGTACAATATCCCACCAATGACTCCGCCAATCAATGGGCCAACCCAATAAACCTGTGGACAAAAAAAAGTAATACATAACCTTAGTTAGCAAATCTGTAAAACAAAGTAGTGATAATATTTAATTATTTCTATGAATGTATTATTTTTCGTTTTTCTTTGGATCCTTTTAGTTTTTTAATATAGAAATAGAAATAGAAAAATCATCTTTATTCTGGGACTAGGTCCCTTTAGAATAACAGTATTGTTCATATATATTAACTACAAATCTGGTCAAAAGACTTATTACAATGAATAATGACAAAATACATGTAATACATTAAGTATTAATTAACGAGGACAGTTTGGTAATAGGGATTCAGTACTACAATATTGGAGCTAAAATAATTGCATAATAATCACTGAATGAAATTATAAAGGAAAGTACAATCTATTTTATAGGTAAATCATTGTAGTGATGGAATATAAAAATTAAAAAAAATAATAATAACTGTTAATATGTAGGGAAAGAAATTGTAAAAACTAAAACAAAAAAATATATAAAAAAACAAATAATGATATACATATGTTCCCTAAGATATTTAAGTGATTATGCGTAAAGATTAGGAGAAGAGAAAATAAAATAAAGTATATATATACACATAGCGAGAAGTATGTTGAAGATAATTAGAAATAAAATACATTTCACTGAAATACATTCCATGAATAACAATTTACTTGATTACAAATACATTAATTACATGAATAACAAATACATTAATGAATAACAATAATATATATATATATATATATATATATATATATATATATATATATATATATATATATAAAAATGAATATTCTTGTTACATATAGCAACATAAAAGCATTCTATGAAAAAAAAAAACTGCTTTTAGGTAAGCAGAAAGACTGTAGGAAATTGATATATTAAATTTTTAGTTATTTGGCAATAATAACTTCCAATTGGTAACAATTGAGTATATTTCTATTATCAACGTTACATGTTAACAAGTTAGTTGACTTTTCAGGATATGTACTGCCCCAAAATCTACATTGGTGAAACATCCAAGCAATTAGGGACTAGAATTTCACAACATATCACCAACTGTAAAAATACAAAAAGCATAAACACAACAGATTTAGCACATCACAGTATAAAATCACAGCATAAATTTAACTTTAACAAACCACAGGTAATAGGCACAGGACCAAAAAAACACCAATAGGAAATTACTTGAAGCAATACACATCACAAAAAACAATAAAACAACTTTCAACTACAAAACAGACACTAAACATTTAGGAACTCATTATACGGACATACTAAACAGAATTTAAATTTAATATAAATGAAATTACAGATACATAAAATAAACATTAACAACAATAGTATAAAAATAGTCAGATAAAACAGTCAGATCCAAAGTTAAATTTTTCACTATAGCAGACACCCAACCAATTATTGGTCAAAAGCAGGATGTTGCTCTAGATGATATACATTTTATAACATGAATTAGAAATTTGACGATGGAGCACATTATTATTAATTTTAAGGTAATTACAAATTTATTGTAACAACAAAATTCAAACATGTAATGCAATAAGCACAATATTATAACTAAAAAAAAAAAAATTTGTTAGCCTTGCATCCCAGATTATTGGGATAGCAGTTCCGAAGATGGAAGTACATATCCCGAAACGTCAACTAACTTGTTAAATATACTCAATTGTTACCAATTGGAAGTTATTATTGCCAAATAACTAAAAATAAATAGACAACTTCCCAGAAAAAAGAAGATATATTAAATATTATTTACTTTAATTAGATGAGATTCATTAAGAAAAAAAAATTAAATTGTCAAGCTCTTTAAATTTAAAATAAATTATTTACAAGCATTAATTACATATTTTTAGTCATACGTATATATAATAATATAGCTTTAATAAATATCTTAAATATATCGATGAAAATATAAATATCCAGATTGTTATATATCATCTCTTATCCGGGATTGGGAATTATCCAATACAACCATGGCCAAATTATTTCTTATAAATGGGTGTTTGTTGCATTTCTAAAGTCAATTTAAAAACATTTTAAATTAATAATTAGTTGATTATTAACTTCTAGTCCGTGGTACAGACCCCTTTTTATCGAATTATTAACATCCGCACGGAAACTTCACAAATAGTTTCATCTCATCGTAACCTACGACTATTTTATTTACGAATATCTTGGAATTGGGGTGTTTTCAATCTGGAAGTGGTAAACTTTGTTTATTTAATTAGGTACTAAAAACTCGTAAATACCCATTTGCTTTCTAGTAGGATCGTTGGATAATTTGATCTCAAAATGGCCTTAAAAAAATATTGAGCCGTTTGGCCTAAATGACATCGTAATTTTTACAATTCGGAGGTGTAGGTCACGCCAACAGGTGTAGGACCTACACCTCCAAAATTCAAAATAACGAGGTTATATAGGACAAACGACCAAATATTTTTGTAGGCCAACTCCAAGAGTTTTCGTAAATAAAATAGTTGTAGGTTACGATGAGAAGAAGCTATAACAAGGTAAGCTATTTACTAAGTTTCAGGCGGATGTAAACAATTCGATAAAAAGGGGTCTGTTCCACGGGCTATTATATTGACATTCATATAATATTTTGTTCTCGATTATTATATCTCGATTCTATTGAAATTTCATTCTTCAGAGGGAATTAGAAACTAGAACCTTTAGAAGTTTTTTTAAAGTTAGAGGTGAATTCCGTAATTATTAATTTTTACAATTTTATTTTAGAAGTAAAAAAAAATTAAAAACAGCAAATTTTCTTAAGACTGCAAAAAAAAGTGAGCCTTTCAGTCCATTTGTTCTTTAACTTTTGACTTTTATTTATATTTATATAAAATAAATAGTGTGACGCTTTTATTGGTCAAATTTCATCGGTCGTCGTAAACCAACGACTTCCTATCCTACAGTTTCCTTTAACAATACTCCACTTATCCCTGTTGAGCAAATCCGATACCTAGGACTCCACCTGGACAAACGACTAACTTGGAATCCTCATACTAGACTGAAACGACATGAAACCGCACGACGTTTCCGATTACTTCAGCACTTACTAGACAAACGCTCTAAACTTCCCATTAATTACAAAAGACTCATATACTTGACTATAATAAGACCTATTTGGACTTACGGAGTTGAGCTATGGGGCTTCACTAAACCATCGAATTCCTCTCGCATCCAATCCTTACAGTCCAAAACCCTTCGTAAAATCCTCAATGCTCCTTACTTTGTCACTGATAAAATTATCCATAAAGATCTTAATGTTCCTTATGTTTCAGATCTGGCCCAATCCAGATACCTATCCTTCCATAATAAACTTCAGAATCATCCCAACCCTCTCGTTTCTAACCTTGCTTCCTCTTCAATTCCTGATAACCCTCCGAGGCGTCTGAAAAGAAGATGGCCCCGTGATCTCCTAATGTAGTCAAATCATTAGAATGCTACCATTGGGTAGTTACTCAGCAAGTGTATTCATGTCATTATATCAATTATGTCCAAATTTACTTGATGTATTTATGTAATACAGTTGTAAATGTCATAAAGAAATAAAAAAAAAAAAATTTCATTGGAAGGTTTATTGATATTTGAGGAAACTGTTAAAGGTATAAGAAAAAGTCATTTTTAGTTTCATGTCATAAATTCGCCATGTAGTACATGTAACAAACCTGAGACATAGTTAAATAAAAAAATGTATTATATAAATTCCTTTCTTTCATGTTTTTGTTGTATAATTAATTCAGTGTTTGAAAGAAGTAAAACATTCTAGCCGCATTATCATTAGATCGTCACACGTGTACCTTTGACAGCATAAATAGTTATTGAATATAAATTCAGTTATATTTTCTTTTAGGTTTCTGTATCTGTCAGGAGTAGGTTATTAATTCGAACCTCTTTCGATTTGTTTTTGTCATCCTTAGCTGTCAGAGCGTTACACGGCCTTGCCCTGAATTTCAACGCGAAAAGGCACACACATCATTAGCGAATTTCTAGTCCTCAAAGTCTGCTCATCAATGTCCATTAGTTCCTCACGTTTGCTGCTAGGAACCGCTGGCATGAAAAGGAAGGGTGAGAGGATGCAACCTTGCTGTACACCCAACTTAGGCTGCAATGCCTTTCATCTAACATTAGAAGCAATGAAAGAATACCGTACATGATTTAATTAGTCCTATATATAGGCGGGTTCCACCTACTTTAGCAGAAAAATGTTTCATTACAAAGTATATTTTTCCACCTGAGGCGCCATCGACCTTGGCGAGAATGGTCAGCTGTGATAACTATTACTATTCTTGCTATACTATTACTATTACTTATCATTGCTATAACTATTATACTATAAACTCACCCAATGATTTTGCCAACCACCGGTCATTACTGCAGGTCCAAGTGCCCTTGCTGGGTTCATACTGGATGATGTGAACGGAATCTGGAAATGACATTTTAGTAATAATTTGCTATTTAAACATAAAAATATTCAATTATATTAAGAAAATATTTTATATTAACTAATTTACGTAGAATGAAAGAATATAAGGATAGTAATGGTAGATAATAATAATGGAGTTAAGGCGTTATCATAGCGCCCTCTAAAGAGGAATGGAACGCAGGATGAAATTTTTATATTGGAGAACACACCAAATGAATTTCTACTCTTACTACTAAACATTGTCCTTTGAACTCTAAATTAAAATACGAACGTTGATTCTGACGTTATGGATAAAAATATATTGAAATGAAAAAAAAAAAAAACATAAAATGAAAGCCTTGGAGATCTTAAAGTGGATTTAGTGAAAGTAATATATATATATATATATATATATATATATATATATATATATATATATATAGGTGATAAAATATGTATGGTTATGTAGTATACAATTTAAAAATAGTGCAGATCCGAAATGATAATTGGTTATCGAAATATACAAACAAAATAAGGTAGATAGAAATAATAAAGATTTTTTAAGTACATAATATTGATAAATAATAAATAGAAAAATTATGCCTAAAAAATGAATTAATTAAAAAATACAAATGAAGAAACCTTGACATATAATTTTAAACTAAACTACACTAAAAATTATTTTAGAAAATGTAGGTAGTAACACGAGTGTTTTTTTCAAATTTTGTCTAGATATTGTCAAATAATTTTACAAAAATATATGTAGAAATAACTAAATAAAAGTTGTTATCATTTATAAAAAAATTTTTATGTGTTATGTTTAAGGATGAAAATGGGTTCAAAAATTTTTTAATTACTGTTGATTAATTGCTGATAAAAAAAAAAAACATTTTTCTATTCGACCGTATTCAGCTGATTGAGGTTTTAACTACTATATATATATATATATATATATATTAGTTCGTGGTACAGACCCATTTTTATCCAATTTATAAATAACTTCATCTAATCGTAACCAACAAATATTTTACTGACGCCAATTCTCGGAATTAGGACATTTTCAATCTGGAGGTCGGAAAACTATTTCTATTCAATTAGGTACTAAAAACTCGTAAATACTCATTTGCTTTGCTCTTAAATCGTAAGATAACTTGAGCACAAAATCGGGAAAGAAGGTGGCCTTTAAAAATATTGAACAGTTTAGCGTGACTTACACCCCCAAATAGTCAAAATAACTACGTTATGTAGACCAAAAGACCCAATATTTTTATGGCCACCTTTCTTTTATCGATTTTGTGATCACATAAGCTTGCGATTCAAGTGGAAAGCAAATGAGTATTTACGTATTTTTAGTACCGAATTAAGTAGACAACGTTTGCCGACCTTCAGATTGAAAACACCCCAATTCCGAGTATTTTCGTAAATAAAATATTTATAGGTTACGATGAGATAAAGCTATTTACGAAGTTCCAATAGGATGTTGATAATTTGCTAAAAAGGGGTCGGTACCACGGACCGTATAAATTAATACGATATTACAGGACGAGATGGCCAAGCAAGTTGGGGCGAGGGTCCCAGAGTGTCCTGTGCTGAAAGTTGTGGGTTCGATTCCCACATGAGTCGGTTAATTTTCATTTTTCGGCGGCCCCGGGAAATGAATCTTGACATTCCCACTATTGCAAGCACGTTAATAATTTATTTCGCCTTTTATTTATCTCATTTCTACATTAGCAGGGTTGGCAGAAATTACCGCCTTCTTTCGGATAATAACCTGAAGTAAGGGGGAAAGTAAGGAATATTACTCATGTGGGTTCAAAGAGCGCAACGATTACTGCTGACCTCGCGCGGTAACATTGTAAAATTCATTTATACTGACACAGCAGAGATGGCGATGGTCCGAAAGAAATATGAAAGCGATAAAGTGAACGTATTTAACAATGACCTAAGCCCCGGCATTAGATACAAGACAACCTCCGCTCGGAGAGACACAAATGTCAGTAGGACCCAAGGATTCTGACTCACCCCTAGCTCAGGTGATTCTCGATTAGATACGATAGATCGGCATGGATCTATCTTCTCTCGGGTTTATAAATCGCAGATCGGGTTTCGCAAAAGTATCGGAACGGCGATGAGGCGGAAAGGTTTTGCATTCAGAGCATGATCCTCGAAAGGAATAATCCTTCTCCCATACTCCTACGCATGCTCCAGAGGGTGGATTACATCATGGATGACATGCGATCCTATTCTAAACCTACTTGCAAATATGGATATGAAGGCAGGATGAGACATTGTCTTTGTTTCGGCGATGAACGCTTACAATAAGCCATCGGTTATTTATAAAAACAAAACCTTTAGGAGGTGTAATTTACATGCTTAATTAAAATTTTTCTTCATTAATATAAATCTTATATACTATTTTTAATGTTATCCATGCATTTACAAAAGTATTTAAAGCATCGAAAATTCAGATTTATGTGCTTGTATAATCTTCAAATTCAGCATTATTTTAAAACATTTATAAATTTGGATATTACAATATTTAAAAATATATATATTAGGCAATGTTTATAGACGTTTTGTGTTGCACTGGTTTATAGTTTACACTAGTAAGCCTTTGTGACCAACTAAAAAAAAAAAAAGTTTGCTTTAAAATCAAATTTCTCTGCTATTAATGCAAATAGTGGGACAATATAAAGTGTTCTGGAATAGTTATACCAAAGTTATAAATAATACTTTTATTAATGATTAATTAAATGATAGGTAGACAATCTAAACAAAGGCGTAGAGCCGTTGTTTTCAGTTATTGATAGTTTGCAGGTTTCTCAGTTATTAATATACGTTATACAATATTTAATAATAGTTATCATTTAACGATACAAAAAACAATATTTTTTTAGCCTTGATAGATTATTCAAAAATATTTTCCAAAAAAACCTTTGAAATTAGCCTGCGGATAGACCCTTTTTTATCAAACTATTCTTTAGAGAAAAATGGTACCCTACAAAAATATCGGTTCCAATCTCTGGTCTCTTTTTTCCTCGATTTTGTCATAAAATTATCTTACGATTCAAATGGAAAGCAAATATATGTTAATCAGTTTTCAGCACCTCATTGAATTTACAAATAGTCCGTGGTACAGACTCCTTTTTATCGAATTATTAACATCCGCCTGAAACTTCGTAAATATTTTCATTTCATCGTAACCTACAACTATTTTATTTACGAAAACTCTTGGAATTGGGGCGTTTTCAATCTGGAGGGGGAGGGGGCAAACTTTGTCTGTTTAATTAGGTACTAAAAACTCGTAAATACCCATTTCCTTTCTACTTGGTTCATAAGATAATTTGATCATAAAATCGATGAAAAATGTGGCCTACAAAAATATTGGACCGTTTGTCTAATATAACCTCGTTATTTTGAAAAACTAGGGCTGTAGGTGACGCCAAACAGCTCAATATTTTTGAAGGCTACCTTTTTTTCAGGATTTTGTTATCAAATCATCTTACGATCCAAGGAAAATGGTAATTTACGAGTTTTTAGTACCTAATTATATATACAAAGTTTGCCTACCTCCAGATTGAAAACGCCCTAATTCTAAGAGTTTTAGTAAATAAAATAGTTGTAGGTTATGATGAGATGTAACTATTTAAGAAGTTTCAGGCGGATGTTAATAATCCGATAAAAAGGGATCTGTACCACGGACTAAAAGCTTATAGATCTCAAAATTGAAAACTCCTCATTTTCCAAAATTTTCGTAGATAAAAAAGCTGTAGATCACGGTAAGATGGAGCCATCCGCGAATATTTAGAAAAATGTTAATACTTTGTTTAAAGTATGCCTGTACCGCGGACTAATTCTCAAGACATTAAAAAATATAGGAGAAAGAATATGTAATCTTAGGACACCATAGGATGCTTTCGGAATTTTTCGATGCTACCGTGACAATTGTTATTTAAAGATAATTTTTCAAAAATGATCCTAGAGCAGATTTAGTTCGGTTCATCGCTTCTGATACTGTTTATGGTAAGAGGGAGCCGCTGGCTGGAAGGTAACTCGAACAAGGACACCAAGCGATGACTGACGTCCCAAGTTGGAACCGAACCCTTGGGTCACGGACCTGGTTTTATAGGACCATCACGGTGCGAGGACTATCACGATGAACTCCAGGGTTACCCTTCCCTCGTCACCTTCCGTAACATCCAGATCCTCTCCAGATATCCGGAGCGTCCGGGCGTAAGGCAACATCCAGGATAATTGATGAGTGTGGGAAAACGAATCATGCACAGGTTACGTCAGTCGCAATAACATCGTTAGAGGTTTCAGAAAGTGCTGTTTAATCATAACAATAGCATAGGTCAGGGATCATATTAGATTAAGTTATTCTCTGACAAGGACAGTTCACGCAAATGGAAATATACAATGGTATTGTTAAAAAAAAAGAAGTTTGCGTAATTAAAGTTATTTTTTTTCAGCAAGTCATACCTTTCTTAATTATTTAAAACAAATGAACGAGCTATCATCTTGAAGATCATTGAAACGTTTTCTAGGTTATCTGAACTTCTCGTTGCTTAATTTTGGCACTAGGATACGTTTTATTTATTGTCATATTAGGAGTGTTCACAAGATGAATAAATCTGCAGTGCGTGTAAACAATATATATTTACCAGCCTAGACCATCTTCTTCTCCAATGTCCATCATCCAAAGTACATAGAGAGAGATACATGTAGCAATATACATCCGATTCACCTCCTTATGTTAACGTAGAGAACATCCTCAATATAGACAGTATCGAGAAAGAGAACCAGATATATTTATTTTTATTATCCGTAGCCAACATGTACTCTATTCCCGAAATTTCATACCAATTGAATGGTTAACAGTGATTTTGTCATTAAGGTATTGATTCGGTTAATGTTTGTTTTATTATAAGTTTTTTTTTATTATTTATTTTGTACTGCGTGATATGTATGTGTATGTATATCTATATTAATAATTCATTCATAAATGAAGTAAAATTATGTATATAATATCAGATGGCCTATATTTATTATAATGAGAGTGATTGTTTATTTAAAATGCAAGCTTTATTATGAAGTGCGCGGGAAACAACTCACATGAAGACATATTTTGAATTATTTTTACAAGAAATCATGTTCTTTAACAAATAAAGGAAATCAATATTTAATAGTATAAATAAAAAAATAAATAAATGCTAGCAGTGTTCATGCAGTTATTGTAAATGCTAACGTGCTAAAGTGTTATTAGTTATAGGAAGGCTATGGCTTCAATATTAACAAAGTTTGTGAATTCTTAATTGGTCTACTGACGTTTTGATATATTTTTAAAATGCCAAAGTGAAATGAAAAGACTGAGTTGCTAGATTATTTGGTTAAACATGCTTTATTAGAGAGATAGAAGATTCAGAAGGCAAAGAACTTGATGAGCACATAAATGAAATTCTTTACATTCCATTTCTGTGGAGATTGTACACAAACACATAATCTTCATCCAAACATATAACCTTACAATAATCTTCTCTGTTCATTTACGAAGTTAACAATACTACACTGTGTTAAAATCGATATTGCTGTAATAAAGATATATTCAGCCAAGTAATTAAGTTAAAGGACATTGTGGGTTGAGCATAAGTTGTTAGGTTGCGCTACATAAATATAGTATAACATGTCTAGTCATGTAGCTACTATCTTGAATTATATATATTATTATAATACATAGAAAGATATTGTTAGGATGTAAAAACAATATATGTATCTATATATATATATATATATATATATATATATATATATATATATATATATATATATATATATATATATATATATATATATATATATATATATATATATATATATATATTGTTTTTACATCCTAACAATCATGTGCCAAAATTCGTAACTTTATTGAACTGAATGACAATACTTAAACCAATCTACCTCTGGAAATTACCATAAAATAAAATATAGATCAAACATAAAAATATCCGACCAAATACAAACAAAACTAACACAAGGCTGAGGTGAGAGGGTATTTTCAGACCTTCTTCGTAATAACTAGAATGGAATAAATCTATTTTTACTATACAACTCAAAATATTTCTCCTCAAGAGCTCTCCATGTGAAGCCTGCCATATTCTCTTCTGTTAGTACAAAATGTCGTACGTGAAAATTGAGTTTTTTTTACATTAGAGCATTAAAAACTGATTATTTCTTTATGATTTGTTAGTATAATTTCATATTTTTTTTCCATCTGCTATTTCTCGTAGTAGCAGATTACTTACAGCAGATTACAAAATTTCATATTTAGTACGAATAGAATAAAAATGGAAGATATTTACACACGACCTTTTGTACTTACTGTGGCGATATTTAATATTTAAGTGCGAGAAAGGAGATCTTTCTTCACCACGACCCATTCGTCTCTATGATGAGATGAAACTTAGTTGTAGTTAATGTAATTTTAGTTGTTGGCTACATAGAGGAGAAAATACTTCCCCACAATTTAGGAATGCCCTAAATAGGCACTAAAAGCCTATTACTTAATTTGTATACCTATAAATTCTTTGTGTGTTTATTCCAATTATAATGCAAGACAATTATAAAACTTAAATTGAATTATCTCGATGAATAGAACTACCTTTGTATGTATCATGTATTTATTTTAAAAGGTGTATTTCTCCTATTGCTTATCCTGATTTGTGCCTTAAAATATAACATTCCTTCAATACAAATTGCATACACAAACAAATCTACTTACAGCGAAAATATGGGAAGTGATGATTGCGAGTCCTATAGCGACAGGAGCCGCATTGCCAACGTCCACCCTCCTAGGATCGGTGACGGCGCAGACGACCAGGACGAGCAGCAAAGACACGAGACCTTCCACCAGGAATCCCTGCAAGGGGTTACTCCATCACCCAGGCCCGGAGTACCGAGGCCTGATCTGGAGTTCGCAGGGCTCAGGGCCTGAAAAAGAAGTACACATGTCATAGAAAGTACGTTATGTCACATGAGAGAGATATTAATATGAAAAATAAAAAAAAAAGATGTCCATCATTTCTGCCAATGTGTTGAAAACTTTTCCATCCCACCTGAATAGAAAGTTAAACAAAATGATCATGATGCCTGATCATCATTTTTTAATAATAGAATTTCATCTACTTATTTTATCTCGACATTTATTAATATTTATTTATTTGTGCATTATGAGCTACGTTAATAAATATTCTTGACCAAAGACTATCATAGAACTCGGAACCCTCTCAGACAGAACTGCAAGATGTATTTTATTGACGGGTATGTCAAGGATAGACTATTGTTCTGTTAGGTCTGTGAAGCAATTATTTAGCCCTCTTACTTCACGACGAACTTATAAATTATGTAGTTTGTTCCTCGGAGGCGATTGTTCTTTTAATGAACTAAGAGATATCTTAAATCCTCAGGTATCTTCGACCTGACCCTGAGTTTACAGCGGCAATTCAGGCTTGCGTCATCTTCAATAGAAAAAGTCTTGGAGAACCAGCGTGACGGGAGGAAATGTCATACTCAGGCAGAAGAATCATTAATATACTATTATGTGGTCTATAAAGTAAAATACAAACATCCCAAAATCTTTATAATAAAATAAGAACAAATCATATCCATCAATCCATGTCGATAAATTCAAATATCTGTTTTCACGTGAATGAAATCAATGTTAATACTTTATTGTGCTATTACAACCTATATAGTATAAAGTACATAGGTGAGAACCCTTTTTATCATAAGAAGCTGCCAGAAGTAAGATTAGGTAGCGATGAAGGAGGCAGCATTAATAGTTTATATTTAATGTTGCTATTTTTATTAATAAGTAAATACACATCCATATACATATATCCAACTAAAATTCTATTGATTTTCAAATTTTCGTAAACCTAAATAATTAAATATTAATTAATTCTAGTGCCTAGATTAATGAAGATCGCAAAAAACGTTTGAAGGCCCCTGGTTCCCCGCCAGTGGTATTTAGTATAACACACGTTTTCAAAAATTAAAACAATAAACAGTCAATATGTATTATTAATAATATGTGTTCCGATTTTATAGCGAAGCTCTAAAGGGAAATACATCTTTTTCTTTTCTTAATACACTACATCGCCTTTTCGACTACACGGGATTTTTGCGGGCCAGGGGAGAAGGCGGGATATCGGCGACAGGATTAAAAGTCCCTGGTAATGGGACTCGAACACGTAATCTTCAGTTTATCAGGTTGCCGGGCCACCCGTGTTTTACAAACATTAGCTCGCCCGGCCACCCCTTGTCTCCCATGCCATTTTGTCTGCATTGTGGGTATTTATTTATCCCAAAATAATTTTGAAGTTCTCAACATTTTTCATAAATATGTCTAACTTTTTTTTTTTTTCTTTTTAGACTACCTATCTTTTTCGGCTATACGGAGTTTTTTCGGTGCAGAGGAGAGGTTGGGATTATTAATGGTAATGGGACTGGAATTCGTAAACTTCAGTTCATTAGGTTGCCGGACATTACCTGTTTTGCTCACGCGTTTAATCCATTCGGTCCCCAAGAATGTATCTAACCAGATGTGCACAGAAGGGGATTTCATGGCGCAAGGTGCGCCATCGAAATTTTTAGGGGTACATATTTTGAATTTTTGACGGGGGCAAATTTAGACGGAGTTATGAATTTTTGAACTAAAGATCAAGGGGAAAAACATTAAACACACCGCAGCAAGTGTAATTGTATATGATCTACGATTTTTTTTCTAAATTTATATTAGCTTGCTTTGTTTTTAAGAAAAGGTGAGAAATAAAATATTTTGAGAGTAGGGGTGGGGGTAGCTTCTTGCGCCATCGAAGTTGATGGAGGGAGGGGAGGAGGAGATGAGCCCCCTTGTATCTAACCCATTTTTTATGTGTATTCATTTGTTCATTCGTGGACTCCAGAATTCCTGAAGAACCATGGCCTCTACAACTGTCTTCTTCCACATACGTGTATCGTTGCGATGTATCTCTATCGCCCAATCATCAGAGCCGTGGCTTCTTGTAGCCATTATATTCTTGATCCTCATTATCCTAGATTATATCCACTTCTGAACTCTTCCAATTTATTTCTCCTTACACTCCAGAAACACCATATTTTGGCTGTCTGGCCAATATTCATACCTCAGGACATCTTATTTCTCAGTCTAATTTTGTAAGCTTATAATCCTTTAAGATATATCCGTTCTGCCGAGTCCTTCAACTTATTTTTTAAATATCTCAGTATTTCTATAACGGCAGTCATCTTTACGACATACATTTTTATTTACTTATTTTTTGACTGGAGTGAATGGAAGAATCGCTCTTTTTTTTATATATATATATTATGTTTTTTCCGAAACTCCTGTCACATACTTAATAAACTGATACAGTCTTGAATTTAAATGAGTGATTAAAACAAATGGGCTATTTCTACGATTCAATTTAGCTTCGTTGCAATGCAAGGGCTTGCTCATTACCAATAAATGGTCTCCATACGGGACTGCTAAATAAGGGAATGAAAATAACCATTACATGAATAATATAACATACAATATGCATATCGGTCGTCATCAATGTCATGAACTATTTTGCTTTTGAAATACAGCTCTCATTTCCAGTCAAGTCATCAATCTCTTGCTGATATATGACTCCTAAAGGTCAGGGTATTATTCATAAGAGCGAGTGGGGTTCCCCTAACTCACATTGGTGCATTAAAATATAAGGAGGGAGAAATTAGTGCCTTTGCTTCAGAAAATGAACTAATTTTCAGAAATTTGATGAAACATTTTGGTCAAGTAGACTGTTTCCGATTATATAATTTCTTGATTTTAAATTACATACGCCAACACTGCGATATGGGTTTCATTTGACGAGTTGAAAATCAATCAAGCACTTTTTCCGAAGGTCCTTATACACGCTCAAGTTTCTCGACGAAAGCTTTGTGCTAGAAGTAGTAGTTAAGTAGAGAAGGAACAATAAGGAACTTCTGAAAGAAACGGGTCAGTCAATATCTCATGATATAAAGACAAGGAGGTTAAGATGGGCGGGGCATGTAGCTCGTAGCAATCCATCAGGACGCCTTTACACAACAAAGAATACCAGAGTAATAGGCAAGAGACCACGGAGGAGGCCAAAAATCAGATGGATAGATAGGATAAACAAAGATACGGGTGAGCTTCATGCGGCAACCTGAAAAGCAGTAGCCCAAGATAGGCAGAGGTGGAGAAGGCTGGTTCAGGCGGCCATAGATCTACAAGATCTGTAGAGCCAATCGAAAAAGAAATATATATGTATATCGTAATATGCATCTAAAATAATTTTAAAAACTACAGGAGTTGTAACCAATCCTAAACATAAGGAATACAATAATACCTAAATATCACTACAGACTTTATAGACACTTTTACACGGTTAAGTCTGTCGAACAATGCCTAGATTGTAGTTAACTATTTTTTTTTTCGGTAGACGTGTCAAGTAATCTTTTCTTGCAATTTCCAAATATTTGAAAAAGTGATAGGAAATTTCCTGAGATAAACTACAAAACAAATATATACAAGCAATGTAGTGTCCTTGATAGATGTTTTCTCACATATCATTTCAATGCTTTTAAACTTAGTCATGAATCCACTCCGACATTTTCACTATAAAAATAATATAACAAAACGTTGTGCAGCATTAATAATAACACAATAGATACACATGTTTTGAAGAGTAATATGTTACTCCAGTACAAGAAGCACTGCGATACTTTGGTGAAAAATTTCCAAAATAGAATTATTTGGTCCCGCAACCTGGCTCATTACTTTTATACGTTTATGGTTCTAAAATGGTTTGTACTAGGTGTTTGTCCAAAATTGATGTTTGACATGGTTGTTAAGTTAAAAATTGATCTCATTCACCTGCCAATACTTTTCAGATGTTTCTCTCTCTTATGGACTTCCATGACACCGAAGCTTTCCAAAACAGGACATGCACGGTTATGTTGAAGTCCACCGAGTCTCAGGTAGTGTTGCCCAAAATCTGTCTTGTTCTTGCACTTTGCAAGGCCAAGATCAAGACCAAAAATCGTCAAAAAAATTGATTTTTTTGAATAAAAATTAAGGCAAAATAGTTACTAATACTTGACAATTTTAGTTATTATATGTAAAGAATAGGTATAACCAATAAACTTATGCATTTAACTATTCTAATTTTTCATTTGAGCCTAGTTTGGTTTCTCATATTTAAAAAAAAACAACAGTAATAAGCTAATAGGTAGTTGCGAGGCTCTTGCGTAAGACCAAGACTTGTCTTAGTCTCGCATTTGGGCAACATTAGTCTCAGGTCTGTAATGAATCGGGTATTAATCATTTTCATGCTTTTAATATACCTTTATTAAACAGCTTTATCATAAAATGAAATAATTTACTGCCGCAGAGAATATTTTAAAATTGAGGTTGAAGTTTGAGCAACAGTGAATAAGTATTGATTATTATATATAATATAATATTTTAAATAAAATTTATTTTAATCACAAAGTACGCCGAAAAGCTCCAGTTCTGGAGATTATTTTTATCTGGTGGGTATTTTCCAAACGCAATCAGCGAAGGGTTGCAATAAACCGGTTCCTAGCTTCGCCGAATGAATCATGCATGTTTTCTCCGAAACAAAAAGAAAAGATTATGTAAAACCCAATATGATATGATCCAATGACGCTATACTGCCGAAATGTTTGATTATTAGGACAAGAAACCTCCGAAAATACACTCAAATATGTTTTCATGGGCAACAACAAAAGATATATCTTAACTATTAAATATAGATTTAGTTATACTGTTTTTGTGAACGAATTTCAACAACCCCGTTTCTAATCATAATTGACTACACTTTGCAATGCTTTGCAACTTGTATTGGGGCTATTACCTCTGGCATTAATACCTCGCCCTCTCCCCGGCCCCGAAAAACCTTCGTTTAGCCTAAAATGGGAGGAAGGGCGGACATAAAAAAATAATAAAAGTAAAATTAAACTTCATATTTATATTTATACGTCTCCCAGTAAATATTTCAAAAAAAGATTATTTCTATAGATAGATTAATCATTTATTCATCTTAGTAATATATTTACTATGTTTAATGGTATTAAAAATTTCTAAAAATTAATTTTAATTTCTAAAAATATATATGCATAAGTAAATATATTGAACTGTTGAAGTTGTTAAGGCTGTATCAACTTTTCAGTGTGTATTTTATTTTGTTTTCTTTATATATATGAAGTTTCGGCCGTCTTCAACCACATGTTAAAAGATTGTTATGTTTTGAATTTGGCCTGCATGATTAGATTTTCTCAAGTGGCACAGTGGAATTAATACAGCCTAAATAATTTTAATATTAAAAAAAAAAGTTTTCACCTTAAAATTAAGGTATAGTGAATTATATTGAACTGTTGCAAATGAGAGTACTGTCTCACTTTAATTGATCTTTATTTTTTCATTAAGCAAAATTTAGTGTAATTCTACATGATGCCTGAATTAACAAAACGTTGATCTTTAATTAATTAATTACTAATGATAGATAATAGGTTTCAATTGATAGCTTCCAATAATTTTAAATATCGTTTCGAGATTGAATATCCGCCTTGCATGTACAAAATATATTTATTTGATACATAATATAATATATAAGGTGTTTCAGGGTTAATTGTCCAAACTGCGAAAATGAACTAAGGACCTCAAAACAAGAAAAAAATTTCCTCTGAAGGTATGAAGGTCATTGACCGGACTTGCATAGACTTTTTGTTTAATGTCACTCCAAACAAACAAATCCAGTGGTGTCAGCTCTGGAGAGTTTGCAGGCCAAGCCAATGGTCTTGCATGGCCAATCCATTATTTGGGATATGGAATATGATTGAGCAAGTCCGGTCAATGACCTTAATTCCATACAAAGAAGGATAATTGAATCTTGTGAAACAATAACACATATCCAGTGCCGTTCTGCCACTGCTGCTGTTGAAGAAAGATGCCGAGCCTGTCTTTAGGCTCAAGGAAATCACTTTGAACAACATTTAATATGAATGTTAATGTTTAAATTTAATTAATAAAGTAGTTAGAACAAATAAATAGATTTTATTTATTCAATATAATGTAAATAATTCATAACAAGGAAAATCTTTAGGTGTGAATATCTCCTAAACAAAGCGTTTGCGGACATACCTTCACAGAATTGTTTTTCCTTTTTTGAGGTCCTTAGTTCATTTTTGCCGTTTGGCCAATTAACCCTGAAACATCCTGTATATTAATACATAAGATACATACGTATAGCAGTGCAGCACCGGCTACTGCCCCAACACATTGAGCAGGAATGTAAAGGACTGCTCTGAGGATTCCAATTCTTCCACAAGCTAACAGGCCAACTGTCACAGCTGGGTTGATGTTGCAACCACTAACGTGTCCAATCGTCTGCAACGAAAAAAATAAATCTGTTATTATTCCTCACCAAAATGAAATATAAATATTTAAATTATGCACATTATCATATATAAATTAAGTAAATTTTAAAACAGGTGGAGGAAAGCAATATGACAACCAGGATATCATAATTATATCTTTATTATTTTTTAGTTTTTCATCTTGTATTACACATAGAAAAATAACACTGAATTGCATAAATTAAAGGTCTTGATGAATTGGCCACGTAAGTTCAGTAATTTTCGGCAAGTTATGATATATTAAAAAAAAAAAAACACAAGTTACTCACACCGTTAAGCTTTCAATAAATCGGCCAGTCTCGGACTGACCTTGTTTATCCTCCTTAAACGTCCAAAATAAACATTAAAAAATAAAGTAAGTCTAAATCTAACAGGTTTTGCAACAACTAAATTTCAGCACTGCAATCATACATTGCGAAAACAGTTTGATAGAGTATTTGTTAAAAATTATTTAGTCTTTTCAAAATTATTTACCACAGAAATAAGGACTGTTTTTGTACCAACCTAAACAGTAATATTGTCCAAATTGGCATAATTGCACTAAACTATTTCTAGCATCAAGGCCCTAAATTATTATAAATTAATTTTTTTTTAGTTCTTAATAGATGTTTAATGTAAAATCTTACTGGTGGAAACAATATTTAAAATGGAACTCATCTTTTCATAATATATATTTTTTGGGTGTGTAACATATTTAATATACTTGAACCTGGATTAAAAAAAAAAAAAGGAAAACATTTTTATTACAGAACTTATATACATCTTCTAAACCTACCCAAGTCTTTAAAATACAACAACAATAAAGGACAGGTAGATAACTACGTTTTTCGAGTAAAATATATTTGTGCAACCTTATACAAAATTAGGGGATGAAATTTATTAATATTTATATAAAACCTTGGACGAGCCTGATTTTTTCCGAGGTTGTATTTAGGAAAATACGTTCAAGCATGAGTAGGTTAATGTAATGGAATTCATTTGATAAAATTGATATAGGATCATTTAAGTACCAACCCGTTTAATTTCTAAAAAAATATATCGAAATTAGATTAGTGCCAATCTTCCGTTGGAAGCTCAGCATAAATTATTGTCCATCGGTGTTGGATTCAATCGATTGATATATTCCCTCGATGGAATTAGCTCTTAGTTTTGAAACTTGTCACTACCTATTTAGAAGTATAATTGGATTCATTCCGTAATAAAAATATTGTTATAGTATAGGTCTGAAGATGCGATATTGTAGTCGCATAACATTACAAATCAAAAGATAAAGATACGTGATCTTTAAATAAAATAAATTTACATAAATGAAAAGAAGCTGATTTTCATTTAAAAAAATAATATTTCTGAACCAATTCTTACCTCTTTGCTATTTAAAATTTTAATTTATTTTTATTTTATTCTAACATTTTTATTTTAGTTGCTTGGCAATAATAACTTCAGTTATTAACAATGCGAGTATATTTTTAATGATACATGCATCTTTATTTATTTTCTGCTAATTTTAAGAAATGAAAAAAAAGTAATAAGTACAGTATCGATTAAAAGTAATATTGATAGTAAAAACAGTTAAATCAATTTTGCTCATAAAATATTCTAGCTATATCATTGCTTTGAATATATATATATATATATATATATATTCAAAATATATATATATGTATATATATATATATATATATATATATATATATATATATATATATATATACATACAGACATATCATTCTTTTTTATATGTATTAAATATAAAGTTATTTTTCTGAAAGCAGAAAAAAAAACCCTTGCTCAATATTTACGTACGTATTCCTGTTGGAAGGTAAACAAACGTAACAACCCTGGCGAGTCCTTGACATTGACCACCAACTTGCCTGACTGGATAATCAACTGACTTACGCAACCTTCTCACAGGGCGTAGTCGGTCTCTTTCAAAGTCAATTTATTGTTTTCATGATGAGTAATACTAATTTAAATAACTTGTTATAAGGACATAAGTAATTTATGTAAAATAAAAAGGAAAAAATGGGGACCTGGTCCCAGAGAAAAGCATAAATTGAAATGGCGCGCCAAAAGTTTCGCCTTGAGAAGTTTTAACCATTTAATTGTTAAACGGAACATACAGATATTGGTTCAGTTGAAAATATTAGTTTTGTACAATATATTTTTTTATGTTCATTATTAAACTATGAAATACCTAATATATTTTATTATTGTGTGAAACAATAAAGATAACAACTAGTATAACGCTTCTCAATAATTAAAAGAATTGGGTACATAAGTGGAAAAGTAAATCAGGGAAATATGAGCTGAAATAAAATTCAAGTGATAAAGAATATATATAAGATTGAACTTTTCAAATAATAAAAAAAGAATAATATTTAGCTATACTTGAAATAACAGTAAGTCTGAATGGTTTGGTGGGGAATGAGAGGTGTGACCTGAGACCACCGTAGCGTCACCAATATGGTTGTAAAACACGATTCAAATCGTATTTAACATCTCTTAGCCCTACTTCATAAACATGCATTTATAAAAGCTAATAAAATACATTTTCAACTAAATGGCGACAGGGTAAGAGAAAATATGGATAAATATTTCTGAGATGGAGATTTCGAAACTGGAAACACTATACTAATTGTAAGCTAATGGTGTGAGTTATCTAGTATTGCCCAAAATCGGTCTTGGTCTTGCACTTTGCAAGACCAAGACCAGGACTGGTAAAAAAAAATCGATTTTTGGAATAATTATTAAGGCAAAATAGTTACTAATACTTGACAATATTAGTTACTATATGTTAATAATTGGTATAACCAATATACTTTAGCATTTAGCTAGTCTAATTTTTCATTCGGGCTTAGTTAGGTTTCTCATATCTCATATAAAAGTAATATCTCTATAGTAATAAGCTAAAAAGTAACTGCAAGACTGTTGCGAGGCTCTTGCGCAAGACCAAGACTGTGAGCAAGATTGAGTTTGCAAGACCAAGACTCGTCTCGGTCTCGCATTTGGGCAACACTAGAGATATCTAAAGGTATAAGCGCAGCACTGGCACCGAGCCTCCACCCTCGTGACGTAGCTCTGTCCCCACCACTATTCTTTAAAACTAATTATCTTTGTAAATAGGCATGAAGAAAATTGGGAAATAACTGGATTTTAATTGTTATAACCTAGTCTTCATCGCAAGGAAAAAAAAAATTAAAATTCATATTTGTACCCAATGGTTTGAAAACATTTCAGATGAGTCTTGGGTTCGTAATTGTCATTTTGTAGTAGCGAATTCAGGATTTAATTAAAACGAAGTAGTCTAACTTTTTTTTTACTTTAATTTTTTTTATAATGTTAATTACAGAAACAATGATGCTTTTAGGGATAATTTTATATCTTTTCTTTACCCGAGCTTACAATGAGTAGTAGTAGAAGTGTCTGCGTTATTATTTAAAACATTGTATGTTTTATAATGAGTTAACGCAGATCGCTTATAGAGACAAATATGAACTAGGACAACCAATATATTTATGTTAAAATTAATTAATTAAATTAAAACCTAAAGTAAAAAAAAAAAAATGGAATTTAATTCAAGTGAGTAGTCATAAAGTAGCTCAAACATTTTTAAAGAAAATCATTTTAGAGTCTAGTGATCATAATAATATTTATGGAGCAAAGCAATCCAATCCATTAAATAAAAATTAAAAATTACACAAGTTGAACTAATCAAAGCAAATAAGAAGGCATTTCCTGAATAATGAGGACATTGCTTATTATATCGTACATCAATAAAGTAATGTATCGATTTTTTTTTTCTTTTTTACATTTTCATCTTCATAAACTCAGTTACCAACAATTCACTCAAATTTACTAATTTTCTTTTATCGATGTTTATTAAACCGTAGTCTAAAAATCCAATTTACCTTGAATGCGTTTGTAAAATTTACTAATTTATGAGGTAGCAGTATGTATAAATTTGCATTAAATTAGAAACTGACAGTTTGTAGACGAACGCTGATGTATAAGGTCCATAATTTACTTTATTGATCTTATTATCGCCATTATGAAAGATGTTTCGATATGATTTATTAGCATAATTACAAAGTTTGCTGGAGTTTATAACGACTTTGAATACAAACTTTACTGCCTCATTAGGGAAGATGAAGTTGCTATAGTTCAAAGGATGCGACTATCCAGTTAGTGGCATGATATTAGGGGTGTGCCGGTCACCCTCTGACATTATCCCAGGCGCCACCCACTTCTCATTTAACTTTAAAAGTCACCGTCACAATATCACGGGGAAGGCTTATAGATAATAGGCGATGTAATGAATAGCCTCAGAGGTCCTTAAGTTATGAGTGTTAATAAGTGAGATCTCGAGAAACGTTTTTTCAAGGATTAAAATACTTCATATAATTTAAGAATATGTAGAAATGACAAAGAAGTACAAGCGTACATAGGCTCCGTCGAAGTGAGTTTCTTTGGTCATTTAAGGAATAAAATTGCTCCAATGACTACAAATATTTCGTGTTGATCCAACAGACCCACAAGTGATAATCTAATGCGCAAAAGGCCAGTTGGAGAAAAAGAATAACCGATTGATGGGAGCGAAATTCAGTTGAAGGATAAATTTAGGTTATCTGGTTCTCAATTTTTATTATTAAGTTTGGGAATTTTCAGGCTTCTTAACTTGGTGGTCGTTTTTAAAAACAGCTGCTTCGGAATGGTAAAAAACCCTAATTTTGCTAAGAATGGAATACACTTTCGTCATTCATATTCAAACTCTCTAAAATTATTATGTTTATGTTATTATGTTTTCTTTATGACCCTGACTATTAAAATACCTTCACTTTAAAAAAAAACAAAAAGACTACATGAAATAATTTGCATTTATAGTTTTCTGACATTTTTTGTCTGAATGTTCACTAAACTTTTTTTAGGAGGTCTCTGAAACTTGTCTTGATTCGTCACCGGTACCGATTCGGT